TTTATATAAAATATTTTAATATATTTAATAATAAGTTTATATAACTATAAAATTTTGTCTTTTTCTAATGTATACATATTAGATATTTAGAATAAGTAATATATGAAATAATTATTAATCATATAATAATTGTCATATTAAATAACAATTTTTTTTATTTATTTGTAAATTATGTTATTTATTATATAATATAATTTTACTTTTAATAATGTTATGAATATGTTAAAGAATTTCTTTATGCTAGAATATTATAATTCCATTATTATTCGTGTTATATGAATCCATTAATAGATTTTAATGATTATGTAGAATATAAAACCATATGTCTAAACAATTAATATAATAATATAATAAAAGGTAAACAGGTAATGACAAATTAATAAATAAAGAAATTCTGTCATAAGTAATTTCAAATATAAATTAAGTAAGATAAACTTTCATCACCTTCTATCTTTCACGCATTCACTCACTCACTCACTCACTCACTCCACTCACTCACTCACTCCACTCACTCACTCACTCACTCACTCACTCACTCACTCACTCACTCACTCCACTCACTCACTCACTCACTCCACTCACTCACTCCACTCACTCATTCCACTCACTCACTCCACTCACTCATTCCACTCACTCACTCCACTCACTCACTCCACTCACTCACTCCACTCACTCCACTCACTCACTCACTCACTCACTCACTCACTCACTCACTCACTCACTCACTCACTCACTCACTCACTCACTCACTCACTCAATTTTTGATACTGATATAAATATTATTGAACATACAAATTAAATATAAATTATAAACTGTTAACATTTATATATTTATGAAACATAATTTCTTACTTTTTTGTAAATTCCATATATTTACCTTTAGTGTCAGTTTTTAAATAACTATGATTTTCATTGTTTCTTTCTAGGATATATAAATAATAACAATGTCTGTACACTATAAATTTAAATCCACTTTGGATTATGATACTGTGTCCTTTGATGGATTACATATTTCGGTAGCAGATTTGAAGAAAGCTATTTTTCATCAAAAACGTATAGGAAAGAACACTGATTTTGATCTACAAATAACAAATGCACAAACTAAGGAAGGCAAATATAGAATATTTTTATCATTTCTTATTCGTTTCTATACACATAGTTTCAATATTACTTTTGTAGTAGGTATCAATTTTTGTACAGTGTAAAAATGGTCTTTTCAGATTATACAGATGATAATGCATTAATTGCAAAAAATACTAGCCTTATTGTTGCTAGAGTTCCATTAACAGTTCAACAAAAGCGATCTTGGGATAGAAATGAAGCTCCTTCATTTAGTAACTTAAAAGATGAATCCAATTTAGGCAGAGCTGTAGATCTTACAAGGCTTGATGGCTCTGAAGAAGATAAGATTCGAGCAATGATGACTCAATCAACACAAGATTATGATCCATCAAAGTATGTTATTTTTTAAACTTCCTTTTGTTTAAAAAGAAGAAAGAAATTCTTCTCTTAAAAACCTATTTATATCAATTTTACTCATATATGGTTTTAACAGTTATATGAAAATACGTGGAGCCAATCAAACCGGTGATGTACCTGCAAATTATCGTTGTTATAAATGTCATCAGCCTGGACACTGGATTAAAAATTGTCCGCTTGGAACAAACCAAGAACCCATAGAAATTAAGAAAAGTACAGGTATTCCTCGGAGTTTTATGGTTCCAGTTGAGGGACCAAGAGTTCCTGGTGCTATGATGACACCAACGGGTCAATATGCTGTACCAGCTATTGATCAGTATGTTTTAATATATAAAACACTTAATATAATTGATAAATATATAGTATAGTTTAAAATTTGTTTAATTAATATAACTGTATATCATCTTTTTAGTCAAGCTTATAAAGAAGGTAAGAAGGAACGTCCACCATTTTCACAAGATCCAGAACCTGCTATAGAAAAGCCAGAAATTCCAGAGGATTTATTGTGCAATATTTGCAAAGATCTTCTAACAGATGCAGTAATGATACCATGTTGTGGGAATTCATTTTGTGATGAATGTAACTTTTTATTTTTGTTATATTTATAATTATTCAAATTTATTGTCAATTTCTAATACATTTTTATAATATGTGTATAATAGGTATTCGGACATTCTTATTAGAATCTGAAGAACACGAATGTCCAGATTGTAACGAGAAAGATGTTTCACCAGAGACTCTTATTCCTAATCGTTTCTTGCGAAATGCTGTAATGAATTTTAAAAATGAGACTGGGTATGCTAAAAGGCAAACATATAGACAACCTCTACAAACAAACAGACAGTCTATAGTACAATTAGAACAACAAAAAGCTGACCAAGCAACAAATCAGATACCGAACCAAAGTAAATCTGTTCAATCTTCAAGTGCAACTAATGTATCCTCTCAAGAATATACAGAATCACAAGCAACAAACTTTGAATCTGTTCAACAGCAATTACCAGTTAGAGTTGCACAACCTCAAACTACAAGTAATTAGAATTTTTATATACAATGGTTAATGGAAGTATTCAAGTGTTATATTTTAAAGAAATTCTTTAACTCAAAAATTCTAATTTTTATGAAAATTTTTGTATACGAAGAATATAACAAGTTATATGGATATATAATACAACAGTTTTTTCATTAACAGTTTAGATTCTTTTTTTCCATAATAATAAGTATTTCGATTCTTTTGACTGTTTACATTATTTGAAGAAATTTGATTACATAAATCTATAACATCTTATGGTATTTAAGCTTTACTTAATTAGTTCATGCAGGTTATGTTTAATTTGAAATATAAGTGTAATTTAGGTGCTTTCATTTCATAATAATCGATGCACAATATTGAAAACACTTTGCTCGACAATATAAAATACAGAATACGCATGGTTATATTACATTTTATTTTGAATAGCTCTTCCTGAAACAACATCAGAATCTGATTTGCAAAGTGATTCTGTGACAAAGTTAACAACAGATGAGGAAACAGAAGTTCCACCACCTCCAGGAACTGAACCATTACTTCCAATACCTGCAATTGGGAGTTCACCAGAAAGAGATAG